GCTGCTTTTCCGCGGGCCCTGGCTTTCCTCAACGTGCAGATGTGCTCGCGCTGGCGATAAATCGCGTCTTTGTACCGCGGAGATGATTGCTTCATTTGTTGCAGGCGCTGTAAACAGAGCGGTGGAGAGAGGAGAGGCTGTGGAAAGAATGGGCTCTTGTTGCTGGCAAGGGGAAAAAAATAAGATTTAAATCCCCGAGAAAATATATTCCATTGCTTTTAAATTGGAGATCACTTTTCTCAGGTGACCATTTAGTGCACATTCATCATAATTGGGGGGTTTTAGCTTTTTAAACTCAACTGGACTTGTGCCATGAGCATGTGAAGCGCTAAAAGCACCAAGGAGAACTTGGAAAGCACCTCCCGTTGGACGCCCAGCAGTACCAACCACCTTTAATCCTTATCTCTTAGTTCTCCCATCCTGGGTTAGAAGCAGGTGACACCCCATGTGTGCAGAGCTGGAGTGTGGGGCCGCCATAAGCAGGAGACCTGTCACCGAGCACTGGGGTGAAACGAGTGATGGGAGATGCCCTCATTCCCCATCCTGGGTGCGGAGCAGGTTGGCATCCTTGGGAACGGGCCTGCGTGTCCCTGTGCAGGCGTAACGGGAGTTTTACCGGGATAACTGGGGCTGAGCGTTTGCAATTCGCGCTGATGAAGAACTTTGCAGCCTGCGGGAGGGCAGGCAAAGCAAAAGGCAGCACAGAGCAAAGCGAGGCGGCTCTTAGAGCGCTGGCTTCTCCCAATCCCATTAATACCTCAGAGTGGTTTGCTCCAGAACTCGATGAGGAGTTCAGCGCCCTCGCTCATGAGTTCAGTGCTGGCCGCATTAGAGGAAAACGGGGTTGGCAGCAGGTAGAAAGACGTGAGGGGAAAGAGAAAAGGAAGAAGTGCAATAGGTGAGAGCATAGGTGATACCGGGAGAGGGAGCGTGTTTGCTGCAGAGGAATAAAGCGACGCTGAACGGCCAGTGGCTCCAGGTGCTGGTGGCCCAGGTGTCCATTCAGAGGCCCCTGGGCAAGGCCAGGATCCGGCTCTTTCAGCTATTGCACTCAAAAATGTGGAATGTGGTTGTGAATTTCCACCTCCCGGTGGAAACGTGCTGGCAGGAACTGTGCAGTGCCCTCTGAGTGGGGAGAGGCAGGTGCGGCCCAGGCCCGGCCGAGGGAGCGGAGCGATGCGGGACGGCAGCACCACGCACGGCCCAGGCCCGGCCGAGGGAGCGGAGCGGTGCGGG